AAAGTTCACCTAACCTCGACTTCATTTCATGGATCAGTGATCAAGGTTAAAGTTACATGATTAGGTTCGTTTCTCAAATACGATAAACAGTAGGTCAACTATAGGTGGTGTATGGAATGATTGTAAGGGTACATGTCAGTCTGGCAGATTTCATCTGACCTTGACCTCGTTTTCATGGTTCATTGGTCAATGTTAAGTTTTTGTGTTTTGTTCTGATTTTCAAATACTATAGGCAGTAGGTCAACTGTATTTAATGTATGAAATGATTGTAAGGTGTACATGTCTCTGGTAGGTATCATATGACCTTGACCTCATTTTCATGGTTCATTGGTCAATGTTAAATTTTGTGTTTTGGTCTGTTTTTCAAATACTATAAGCAGTAGGTTAACTATATTAAGTGTATGGAATGATTGTAAGGAGTACGTGTCTGTCTGGCAGTTTAAGCTAACCTTGACCTCAATTTCATGGTTCATTGGTCAATGTTAAGTTTTTGTGTTTTGGTCTGTTTTTTAATTACCATGAGCAATAGGTCAACTATATTTGGTGTATGAAATAATAATTGTTAGGTGTTATTATCTGACCTTGGCCTCATTGCCATGGATATTTGAAAATGTAAAGTTTATGTGATACTTGTAGTAAAACCTTAAATAATTTTCTTAAGACTTTCTACATAAAAGCAATGGTCAGTAAAGCAGGCGCGACATTTCAGCGTGTGAACTCTTGTTTTATTAGTTGTTATTGGCTTTGAACTAGCTGTCAGTAACCGTGAGTACTCTCAGATCTGTATTTAGTGCCTTTTTTTATTGCAGGGATGTATAAATACCGCTACGTCCAGTCTGTGTTTTTGTTTCTTGTTTTTCTGCTTTGTAAGTTGCATCAATCTGATGCCCGTTTCAACTGATTTTTATAGTTTGTTCATGTGTTGTACTGTTACACCACTGTCCAAGGTTAGGGGAGGGTTGGACACCCGCTAACATGTTTAACCCGCCACATTCTGTATGTGCCGTTCCAAGTCAGGAGCCTGTAATTCAGTGGTTGTCGTTTGTTGCTGTTTATCATATTTGTATTTCGTTCATTATTTTGTACATAAATTAGGCCGTTAGTTTTCTCGTTTGAATTGTTTTACATTTGTCATTTCGGAAACTTTTATAGCTGACTATGCGGTATGGGTATTGCTCATTGTCAAAGGCCGTACGGTGACCTATAGTTGTTAACTTCTATGTCATTTGGTCTCTGGTGGAAAGTTGTCTCATTGGCATGATACTTTGTTTTCTTAGTTTTATATAATTTGCCTTTTCATTGTTTTGCATACATTGGATGGCTTTGTTAGTTTCTCTTTAACTTGTGAGCTTATAAGTTACGAATGTACCCTTGGTATCTCCTGCTTTTATATAGTAGTAGGAGGTAATCAAAGTGTTTTCAATACAAAAAACAGGTCAACATTTTGCATTTTGCATTTTGATCCCAAAACATATAGGAGGGTGTGGATGGGGGTTTACAGAATAGAGAATAATGGGTAAAAAATATATTGAATAGAGAAAAATTGTATTTAATTCTGATGTCAGTATTTACGAAATATGTGTTTTTTTAATATTAGAATACATGGATGGAAATGCAGAATAAAGCATTATTGTATTAAGAAGTAACACACATATGTACAAAAACACCATTATTTCATAAATACTGAACTGTGAAAAAATATACTTTTCAATGTGAAGCAGATTTTAAATAGTGCTATATTCATTATTTCCATGCATTTGACGTAATTCTACTTTTAGAAAAATATCATCAGATATTATCATCATATATTGTATGATATTCACATGGTACTGGTATATCCTGAACATGCATGAAATATTTACCACTGGACGTTAAGCAACCTCAAATCATCAATTGTTTTATTATGTTAATTCTTAATACAAAAGAGATCAGCAACACATAGAGTTGCCTTCATTTTTAAAAATTTTATATTTAGGACAACAAAATTTTGGAAGTATTTTACCATACAAGAATATTTTTACTACAACATAACTTTGCAAGTATTTAACTGTTGTTTTTTTTATATTCTAAATGAGTAATTTAATGCTTTAAAATACTGACTGTATTTTACCTGTAATTAATTATTAATTGTTATAACAACACCCATTGTATTTTGTTTGTAGGCATAGGTTGAATATATATTTTTAAACAAATACATGTATCAGAAGTTACCATTTAGCGAAATGCTCCTCTGGAGAACCTTGAAATGGTTCCCTTGGTATCACTTATTAAAATTGTCAAATTGTGAAATGTTTTGCTGGGGAAAATTGAAATGTTCCGCTTGGAATCATCTCATACATTTATTATTTTATGAAATATTCCCTTGTTATTTTAAAGCATCTAGGTAAGCAAAGATCAAAGTTACTATTAAGTTAATTGTTCCCTGTGTAACCCTCGATAAAAGTGATCATTTTGGGAAATTTTCCCCTTGGGAACACATGACAACAGTGAAGTATTCCCCTGGCATCACGTAATAAAAGTTACCATTTAGTAAGAATATAATACTGTTGGGAACACAGATTAATGTGCATCTAGGTAAACACATTCATGTATCAAAAGTTACCGTTTAGCGAAAATGCTTCTCTTGGGATCCCTGAAATGGTTCCCTATGTAACACATGATCAAATTAAAATGTTCCGCTTGGGATCACATAATAAAGTAATCATTTTGTGAAATGTTCCCCTTTGAAACACATGGTAAAAGTTATCATTTAGTGACATACTCTCCTGGGAAACACGTAATAAAATTTTTATTAGTGAAACTTTACTGTTGGGAACACACAGATTAATGTTCATCAAGTAAACCATATCATGAATTTTTTCTAAAACATTATGTTACTGCATATAACTCTAAAATGATTCGCTAGAAAAAGTGAGAGGAGGGGGAATAAAACTGTGCGGGACAAATTAACCATTCCAGAACAGGCAAATCTGACTGCTGTTTTACAAGATAACAAAAATATTTTTTGGCCAAATGACAGACACTTTAAAAAAGAAAATTTCCCCAAATGTCCCAACATGTCACTGTTGTCACTGATTAAGTACATTTCGAATGGGAAATTTAGGAATTATCATGGGAATATTAGAAGAACCCATGTGAAAAAAGTGAACTTTTGTCATTTGTTTGTTCCCATGGGATATTTTAAAGTTCCCATGGGAAAAAAGTCAGGATTGATCAAATGAAAGACCGACCTTGGGCAATCACAATTTAAATATTGCAAGTCTGACGTAAAGCATTAAATCAATCTTTATATTTTCTTTTTTGTATACTTATTTGTAGAGAACTAAGGCAAACGTTTGCCTTTTAGTTTATTTCTTTTCTGTAATTAGGTCTTTCCACTTTTCTGTGGAAAGACCTATTGTATTTGTTCTGATTATTATTATTAGGTCTTTCCACTTTTCTGTGGAAAGACCTATTGTATTTGTTCTGATTATTATTATTATTATTATTATTATTATTTTTTTTCTTCCGCCTAATTTTGTTCTCGCGTAAAATTTTTGTTTCGCAAGATGTCGCTTAGATATTTCTTATATAGTATCATACAGTTTATGCGCTTTTTATTTTCACCCATTCTAAGCCGAACAGTTTTCTTTGTAGGAGTTATCTCCCTGAACACTGTTTTCCTTGTGATTGCATCTCCTTCGTAACAAATAAAGATATCGACAAAATTCTTTTTCTTAATTATTTGTTACATCCTCAGGAATTTTTGCCTAGTTTGGATCGAAGCGATCCAGTGAGATCTTAAAGGAGTTATCTGCCTTTACCAAATTAATTTGTCGTTATGTTTTTGTAACACGTAAACCGTAAGCCGTATAAAAAAAATTTGACCAAAATGTTAGTCGCGACATGATATAACTGGAAAGTTTTTGTCAAAATGGTACGCGTCATTGTTTTAGGGGTTCCATGCCACTGAAATAGCAAAATGAACAAAATGAACTAATTATAGCCTCAAACTTTGCAGCTATCATGATGTATACATGCATCTTATCTTAATTTATCAACCAAGGTCCACCATCCTCCACCTCCCCCCCCCCCCCCCCCCCCTTTTTTTTTTCTTCTGCTTTGAGGAATCCCATTTTGCCTTGAAGTTCAGTCCTGTACATTTTACTGTAAAAATGCAATCCTTCTGATGTACAAACTTCTTAAATAGAAATTCATTCCTGCAAAAAATCGGCTCCAATTCATGTTCCCGTTAGACGCGGTCCGCTTGTTTGAGAAATAAAATTCAATGACATAGAAAAATCGTAAATATTGCTGAACTCCTACAATCAAATTTTTTAATCATGCATTAAAATACAAAACTGTGCTCCCGTAAACATGTGAACGTAAGATGCATGCATGATCCGTCATCAATGACCTGTAAATAATAAAACCAATAGTGGTCATGTTTGTCCGATCAGTACACATGTGCTCTGTTCAACGGTCTCCCCTGAAAAGAAATTAACTCCAGACATATATATTCGAGCGTCACGTGACTTCAAAACATCATCACGCGCGCGGACCTAAAATTAGAATAAAACATTCGAGATCCATATCCAAATATGGAAAGTGAAACTTCCAAGACAAAATGTTACTCATTTTTTTTCTTCCTACAAGTTGAAACAAAATGTACACACAACACATAAAAGAAACCATGAAGTATCAATTCTCGTAGCAAATAGAGAAAATTAGAAAAAAAAGAAGATGTTAGGACTTTTATTTATTAGGAAATCCTCAGGCTGTCCGTTTGGGAGTGCGGGATGTACAAGTACGCAGCCTCGTCAGAATATGAACGTCAAGTCCGATGCCTCGCATAGAGAGAGTGTCATGCAAACTTTCAATCAATCAATCAATCAATCAATCAATCAATCAATCGACCAACCAACCAACCAACCAACCAACCAACCAACCAACCAATTAATCATGTTTCGGTGGGGAAAGACCGTTTAACAATTGTTTTTAAAACAATTGATTTATATTTATTATTTTCTTCCGCCAAATTTTGTTCTCGCGTAAAATTTTTGTTTCACAATATGTCGCTAAGATATTTTTTATATAGTATCATACAGTTTATGCGCTTTTTATTTTTACCCATTGTAAGCAGAACAATTTTCTTTGTAAGAGTTATCTCCCCGAACACTGTTTTCCTTGTGACTGCATCTCCTCCGTAACCGCAAAAGAAAGCGACAAATTTATTTTATAAAATTTCTCGTTATATCCTTCGCATGATTTGTCCTATTTTGACTGAAGCGATATGAACACTCCATATGAGAGTTATTTCCCCTTATGCATGTGATATAAGTGATATGCATTTCTATCTTGTAAACCATAAGTGATAGAGACATAGGATCTTTTGATTTGAGGTTCTTGACCAAAAAAAAAAGAAAATTAGGTCAAGGTCAGAGGTCAAGGTCATATTTTAAATTTTGATTTTGGCTTTTTTTCAATTCTTTTCAAAAACCGTATAAGATATCGACAACATATTTTTACTAAATTGTAAGTTGCGACATGAACTCAAGGTCATAGGTAAAATTGACGTTCTAGATTTTGACCTTTGCTTTTACCTCATATGTATACATGATAAAGCCATGGGACTTTTTGCATTACGATGCAAGACACTTGACCATGGAAAAGCCAACCGGAAGTGACCTGGTGTAAACCGGAAGTAGCTATTTTTTGTACTTATTTAATGATAAAGTATATTGAACCATAAATTTTTGGAATCAGTATCAAGTAAACTATCAAATACAACCGGAAGTGACATATTTCAAACCGAAAGTAACAATTTATCTCCCTTATTTAGAAAAAAAATGTATAGAAACCATATATTTTTGGAATCAGTGTACAATAAGCTATCATTTGACGCTGGATATGATATATCAAACTGAATTTTTATAGTTCTATATCAAAATTGATCTTCATGGGTGGAAAGACCTTCAATTGTTCTCTGAACAATTGGTTTTTAATTTCTTTAAGTTTTCTTTTCTGTAATTTCTTTAAGTTTTCTTTTCTGTAATTTCTTTAATTTTTAAGGTAATTTTTCTCTATTCTTCGTATTTTTTGCCCATTATTCTCCATTCCTTATATTTTAGCATCCAATTAAATATTCTCTATTCTTAATTTATTGGAACCATTTTTCTCTGTTCTTTACTTTTCACCTATTTTTCTCTAATCTTGGCCCAGTATTCTCTATTCTGTAAACCTCTGTTTTGTCTGTTAAAAGGACGACATTCCCTTACAATCATTTGAGATTAGAAGATTTCTTAAAGAACGCTTTTGCACAAATTATATATCGGATACACTTATAAGAAGGTTAGATATCACTACTGTTTATCACTTGTTTTGTTGTTTAAAAGATACAAAGGAAGAAATAATAGGTGAAATCAAATACGAAAAGAGTCTGTATGGGAAAGAACACAAAAATATGGCCCTCTAAAGGTTAAAGAACACACAATTGATGAGCCACCCCCCTTTTTTTTGTCCCTTCATATTCAGATCCTCATACATGTGAACTGAACAGTATTCTTTGATAGTAAATTAAAGTGTATCCAAACGCCATCACAACTTGGTTGATCATTATGGATTTTTTTTTATAAACAATGACCACACATATGCTCTATTTTTCATAGACGACTTTCCTTGTTTAAGACTAACTTTAAATGCTACTTATAAAAATATTTGTATTTTTCATGAACTGTTACCACACGTAAATGGAGCTGTCTATCTAATCATCTTTGATTCATATCCTTTCCCAATGTCCTGCACCGCACATATCCGTTCCATACGTGCTTCGCAATACTTCACTTAAGGTGGTACCCAACACCTTGACTAATATTAATTTGGCTCGTTTAATTTTCATAAAATTTTGCAAAATGTTTACTTTGACCCTTTGACAAAAATATAAAAATTTCAAAAAATTTGAACCAACCACTTTATCAGAAAAATTTCATTGGTTATATAGCAGTTTGACAAACACTAATTTTGATCATTGAGAAGCTTAATATTTCCTTAACAATACAACGTGATTAAAACGTTTAGCTAATTTTTACAGAGTTATCTCCCTGTAGTGTTAGGTACCACCTTAATATGACATATGATGATACGTAGTATAGAACAGAATAGATATGATCATGTTGCTGGAGATTGTTCATTTCCTTTGCCAGAAAAAAAATATTTTTTCAAACGCTGTTGTCTGAAGCCATTGAAGTGTATTATGAGGGTGTGGATGTGTCTTTGAACTGACAAGGTCATTATATCGGCTTTACATTTTCCCTTGTATCCTTGAACTGACATGGTCATTACATCCACTTTACATTTTCCCTTGTATCCTCGAACTGACAAGGTCATTATATCCGCTATACATATTTCCTTGTATCTTTGAACTGGCAAGGTCATATCCGCTTTACATCCAAGAGCTTGCAGCTGCTACTCAGACTTTATAAAATCACCAGTGTCTGAGCAGAAAGTTGATGAACCAGGGTTATGTCAAAGAACGTCTCGTTCTTTTTCTGAAAAAGTTCATCGGAAGATTCCAAGACCTTGTTGATAAATATTCCGTATCAACTTCACAAATAATACATGTCTTGAAGTATAGATTCTAGGTACTGACGTTGTTTATCATCTTAATTACGTGTTATAGTGTTCTTTTTCTTTTTCTTTATGTATTGTTGACCTTTACTGTTTAGTTATTTTTTTTGTAATATACTTTTGGCGTGGTTCGGTATTTATACATTTCGCCATTGTGTTATTGTGCTATGGTCATTTTCGTATTCTTGTCTTTCATTTTTGACATGTACTTTGTCTATAGAGTGTCTATTCAATTATTTTGTTGTTGTTGAAATAGTTAGTTTTATAGTGATTAAGATTATAACGCAATGTTGACTGCTGTACCCCAATTTTTGACATTTTTACCTATTATATCTGTTTGTTTTGCTCACACATTGTTGTCAATATAATGAAATCCTATGCGACTGTCATACAAGTGAGAGGTTTAGCTAGCTATAAAACCAGATTTAATCCACCATTTTGTACACAAGGATATGCCTGTACCAAGTCAGGAATATGACAGTTGTTTTCCATTCGTTTGATGTGTTTGAGTTTTTGATTTTGCCATTTGATAAAGGACTTTCCATTTTGAATTGTCCTTGGAGTTCGGTATTTTTGTTATCTTACTTTTAACCTTTGTATCCTTGAACTGACGAGGTCATTATATCCACTTACATTTTCCCTTGTATCCTTGAACTGACAAAGTCATTATATCCGCTTTACATTTTCCCTTGTATCCTTGAACTGACAAAGTCATTATATCCACTTTACATTTTCCGTTGTATCCTTGAACTGACAAAGTCATTATATCCGCTTTACATTTTCCCTTGTATCCTTGAACTGACGAAGTCATTTTATCCGCTTTACATTTTCCCTTGTATCCTTGAACTGACAAAGTCATTATATCCGCTTTACATTTTCCCTTGTATCCTTGAACTGACAAAGTCATTTTATCCGCTTTACATTTTCCCTTGTATCCTTGAACTGACAAAGTCATTATATCCGCTTTACATTTTCCCTTGTATCCTTGAACTGACAAAGTCATTATATCCGCTTTACATTTTCCCTTGTATCCTTGAACTGACAAAGTCATTTTATCCGCTTTACATTTTCCCTTGTATCCTTGAACTGACAAAGTCATTTTATCCGCTTTATATTTCCCTTGTATCCTTGAACTGACAAAGTCATTTTATCCGCTTTACATATTTGAAGCATCTTTCTCTAGTGCATTATTCAACCTTTCCTACAGAAATATATCAAAACAGAAATATATCAAATTGATCATTTAGCCGTGATATGGTAATTCAGCCTTGCAGGTGAACGTGTAGATGTTATGCGCAATACACGCACAAAAGAAGTTTATCATAGGGACGACTACTTAATATTCTGGAAACGGAGCTTTGTATCCTTCTGATGAGTCAAGCCTTTTTCAACTTACACCACTGTCCCAGGTTAGTGGGGGGGGGGGGGGGGGGGGGGGGGAGGGGGGGAGGGAGCGCTAACAAACATGTTTAACCCCGCCACATTCTTTATGTGCCTGTCCCAAGTCAGGAGCCTGTGGTTTAGTGGTTGTCGTTAGTTCATGTCTTTCATATTTGTTTTTCGTAATTTGTTTTGTTATAAATTAGGCCGTTAATTTTCTTAATTGAATTGTTTCATATTTTTCATGTCGGGGCCTTTTATAGCCGACCATACGGTATGGGTTTTTCTCATTGTTGAAGGCCGTACGGTTGCCTACAATTGCTTACATCCACTTCATTTGAACTTTGGTGGATATTTGTCTCATTGGCAATCTTACCACATCTCCTTATTTTTATCTTGAAAAGGGGGCGGGTTTGTTTTCGATTTGACAAACTAAATAAAAGAAAGATATTTGTCAAATCGAAATTATCGTTTATGCTTTCTGCAAAATCACTTACAAAATTACAATAATAAATAACTAGGTCAGGCAAGCCTTTTTGAAACCGTGCTTGTACTAAGTTTTGTGTTTTTTTTATTATCAGAATCAACATATTCAATACTTTTTAAAAGTATTTTCGAAATTAAATATCTAATTCACACAACCTGCAAATAAAGGTTTTGTACAGGTATTTTACGAATTTGGGAAAGAGCAACTCTGAAACATCATTTTTCAAAAATACAAAACACCTTGAAGCTAGCAAAAATCAATAGAAATGTAAGATCTGTTTTTCATCAGTTGAATCATCGATCAGCTATTTCGTTCCGAGTCAATTGTAAACTCTGTACATTAAACCAACGTTCTTAATTATCGAAAGCTATCAGTTTGCATTAACCCGAAAATAATGTGTAATGTATATGCTTCAACTGTCGAATGCGCTCAAGAGTTCATGCACTTTAGTTATTTTACCCGAATAATTCAGTCCCTCCTCGTAATCGATCTCTCCTATATAACGTAGCAATCGAAGCTCAGCGGGAAATAACGACTGAATTATTAACACCTATCTTATATTTGTATGCAAGTTTATACAAATTTCAGGACATGACGTTTTTTTTATTTCGATAAAGTTTCCATAGTGTGACTAAACTGTAATACTCGGTATTCAAGTTGATAGCTGAATCCGTGTTTGTATTAAAGCTGTTACCAAAATAATAGTATAGATAAACCGGAATCTAAATTAACTAAATTTGATCAATCTAAAGTACTTCTAAACGAATTGCAGATGAAAATCTGTATTTCAGCACTTCAAAGGCAATATTTCATATATTGATTTCGGATAAAAATCTATTAGTTGATATAGTTTCCGATTCTGACAAGTCCGTCATATAGCTATGTATCTGTATTTATATATTCAAGCTTGTCTTTTCAACTTTTAATAGTTACTTAGGAAAATCTATAAACAATACATAATTGTCCTTGCTAATAGTCAATGGTTATAGATAGGCTGAGCTTGTATTTAAATGCTAGTAACACAGTTACCGGAAAGAAATGTTACAGGAAGATGTGATACAAGGGTGTGTGTATACGGGTCGGATGTCTTATTACAAATAAAGAGTTTAATGTGATATACAAGGATACGGGTTGGATGTCTTATTAAAAAGTAAGGGTTTAAAGCAAACGTGACAAATGGCTTTTCTGAAGTTTGAGACAATCAGCATTTCTTTTAGAAAGAGAATTAACCTGTGACATGTGGTATTTCTGAAGTGTGACAATCAGTATTTCTTTTATAAAGAGAATTAGCCTGTGACTTGGTATTTCTGAAATGTGAGACATTCATCCTTCTCTTTCATAAAAGGAATTAGCCTGATTTTAAATATATTGCTGATTCTCTTAAAGTGCATGGATTATTTGTTACTGGACGTATTGCAAAACAATATTTTATCTTATCTAGCATCTCATATTGATGATCCTATAAAAGTTCATGAGATATTTGACACTGGACGTAAACAACAATCAACTAATCATTAATGTTATTGAAATATAAAGAAAATAGGCAAGTAAACTTTCTAGCGACTTAGACTATAAAAATACCATTGAACCTCATATGAGGTTCTACATCTCGGGGTCTGGATTGGATTTACAGACTACAAAATAATGGGCAACACAAACATAGGAAAAAGGGCAATTAAAGAATATAGAGAACAACGAGGTGCTAAATGTAAGGAATAGATAATCAGGGTAAAAAAGGAGAGGAAAATTGCCTTAAGATTAAAGAGTTTAGAAAATGAGGTCTCCTATCCACACCCACCTGTATTTAATCGAAAAAAATAGTTTGCTTTTGATATGAGTTAAAAACAAAAACGATGCCCCTCTACCCCCTCACACGAAATACGAATGGTGTATGTCTAAAGACGAATGGTGTATGTCTTTATACGAATGGTGTATGTCTTAATACGAATGGTGTATGTCTAAATACGAATGGTGTATGTCTAAAGACGAATGATGTATGTCTTAATACGAATGGTGTATGTCTAAAGACGAATTGTGTATGTATAAATACGAATGGTGTATGTCTAAAGACGAATGATGTATGTCTAAAGACGAATGGTGTATGTCTTAAGACGAACGTCTAAAGACGAATGGTGTATGTCTAAATACGAATGGTGTATGTCGTAATACGAATGGTGTATGTCTAAAGACGAATGGTGTATGTATAAATACGAATGGTGTATGTCTAAAGACGAATGGTGTATGTCTAAATACGAATGGTGTATGTCTAAAGACGAATGTCTAAAGACGAATGGTGTATGTCTAAATACGAATGGTGTATGTCTAAAGACGAATGGTGTATGTCTAAATACGAATGGTGTATGTTTAAATACTAATGGTGTATGTCGTAATACGAATGGTGTGTGTCGTAATACGAATGGTGTATGTCTAAAGACGAATGGTGTAAGCCGTAATACGATATTGCATTATTATCATTCATGTATTTGAACTTAATGAAATTCACCCATCGGTGATTTTCATATAGTTTTATATTTTTACGGTATTTTAATAAATTTTCCCCCAATATTTTGTGTTAACGTATAAGATGACATTAGACTTTATTGTATTTACCAATCATGGGCCCTTGTCAGGCAAGATACATTAGATTAACATAATAATACAACAATACTTACAAAATATGCAAGTTTTTAGTGAAAATACACAATACACCAGGAAATAAAGTAAAATATGAGCAATATAGGATGTTATTATATAAAGCATTTAGTGTAATGAGGTCGAGATAAATATGTTTACTTTGACCCATGACAGAAAAAATCAATACTGATAAACTTGTTGTATTTATCAGTTAAACAAAAATAGTTCAAACATCTGACAGACAATGTATCGTTAATCACTTGTCTTATAAATACTGTAAATACTGTGATCGGATAAATATAACACGGGGGATGGGGTGGGGATATAAAAATGTTAAACAATGTTAAACGTCATATGGTTTGTATATTTTAAAAATGAATAAAAATATAGTTTAAAGGAACCAATAAATTCCACAAATATATAAAGATATTTATAAATTCACTCAGGTAAGTATTTAAATTTATCAGTTGACCCATAAGCTAGAGCATGATTTTAACATAACAAAACAGAAATAATATATGAGAATTTTCTAATTAGAATATCAGTGCTATGTATATCAACCAAAGAATTTCAGATTTGTATATACATGAACTATTTGCCACTACACGTTAAGCAAACAACAATCAAACCATTATTTGTAAGAAAACTGACCAAGCATGAAACCTTCAACACGATTATTGATATTATTATGATAAAAACTTTTTATTTTATAGGTGTGGGTATATTTTTTATTTGTAGACATTTCTTTCTAAAATTAGAAATTTATGACCATAAGGTAACCTTGACTTGTGTTATCTCTAAAGTGGATTTTAATCTTACATGGAGGACGATTTAAATTTCTCAATTCGATTCAAATTGAAGAAGTGTAAATTATTGATTATGAAAATGTCTGTGATCAGACAAAACAAATTGAAAAAGTTGAATTTATAATGTGAATGATAGCTATCAGCTTTCAGATAAAACAAATGATCGAATATAAGTTGTGAAATCAATCATTCAGGTATGATAACTAATTGTTGATATATCACCCGTGTTTTTGCATGGTTCATGTTCTATGAATGTAACTAAAACTGATAAAGAAACTAATAATGTCTTAATCTATTGATTTACACCAAGATGTCGTTAAATTGGATACCCTACATTTTTCATACTTTTCTGTAACATATGATCAAATCGCTGAAAGACCCCCGTCCTAAGTTATTGAAAACTATCATTCTGCTTTGAAAATAATATTAGGGATACACCCATTCGGGCTAACACCCTCAATTTGTATCTAATACATAAACGTAACGTCGTTATCAAGAAATATAGTTTTACACTTAATATTTTCCCATCTGATTGATTTCTAGCTTTTCAAATAATGTCTACGTATCTAAATAAAAGTGTTATCATTTATAATCTAAAAGTTCAGATTTTGACAATTAAACCAGAAAAAGACAGATAGTACAGCGATTCATATGGCCATAAAAAAGCAGTGATAAGGTAACAAAATGATGACAGAAAAATAGACGCAATTACGCTATCATTCCAAATCCATAACTATATAACATATTCTGAAAGTGTTACTGAATCTGGATAATGACACCCCTCAGATATGAGAAGCCTAAACTATTTTCGATATTGGGGAATTGATCAACACGGGACGCTTTTTGACAAAATAACTGTGACTGGCGATAGCTTCTACTGTGACAGACGACAGTTTTAACTGTGACAGGCGATATCTTCTGCTGTGACAGGCTACAGCTTCTATTGTGACAGACTATAGCCTCTACTGTGACAGGCGATAACTTCTACTGTGCAGGCGATAGCTTTTACTGTGACAGGCGATATACTCTACTGAGACAGGCGAAAGCTTCTACTGTGACTGGCAATAATTTCTTATGAGACATGCGATAGCTTCTACTGTGACTGTCGATAGCTTCTGCTGTTGACTGGCGATAGATTCAACTGTGACATGCGATAACTTCTACTGTGACAGGCGATAGATTCAATTGTCAGGCTATAGCCTCTACTGTGACAGGTGATATACTCTACTGTGACAGGCGATATCTTCTACTGTGACTGGCGATAACTTATAATGTAACAGGCGATATCGTTTACTGTGACAGGCAATAGCTTCTATTGTGACAGGCGATAACCTCTACTGTAAAAGGCAATAGCTATTATTGTGACTGGCGATATCTTCTACTGTATCAGGCGATAGCTTCTACTCTGACAGGCTATAGCCTCTACTGTGACAGGCGATATCATTTACTGTGAAAGGCGGTATACTCTTCTGTAACAGGCGATAGCTTTTACTGTGACTGACTGGCGATAACTCCTAATGTGACAGGCGATAGCTACTAATGTGACTGGCGATAACTTCTACTGTGACAGACGATTTCTTCTACTGTGACTTGCGATAGATTCAACTGTGACAGGCGATAGCTTCTACTGTGACAGGCGATAACTTCTACTTACGTGAGGAATTTAAGTGAAGAATATAGAATCATTAGATAGGTGTCTACCTTTTCAAAAAAAATTTCCTGTTTAACACTTTTTTATATTGATCGGTATATCAACAAATATGCTATCTAATACTAAAAAAAATAATATTGTGACAAGTTTTTCAATACAGTGTTAATGAAAAAGTAAGAAAGTTAGGAGAAATATAATGTATAAAAAAATAATTGAAAGAAGATCATAGCCATGTTTTTATTCTGTTTCAGAAAATGTTTCCCTATTTGACTAATTTTAATCTCAATGAGTAGATTAACTAAATATGCTATTTAATATCAAAAATATATATTCTTCTACAAGCGAAATCTAGCTTAATATACTTAAATTTTTCATTACAGTGTAAATGAAAAAGTGAAAAAGTTGAGAGAAAAAACTATGAATGAAAAAAAAACCCAAGTGAAAGTAGATAACAGCGATGTTTTTTTTTTTTCTGTTACAGAATGCCATGTCCTCTTTTACAGAGAAGATACAAAACGAGATGGAAGTATGTGTATTACATTATCTTATCGATTACCATAACAGTTCTAGTGACAGTGTACGATATGGATAACGAAAAATCTCTCTGGCCAATTCCTCACTATGGACTATTATCCAACACATATCAACCGTATGTGAAAATATTTCCAGACCGACAGTTCGGACCCGATAAAACAAATAAAGTTATACTGCTATGGACTAAGTTCTTTGAAACATACGAATGGTTTGATACAATACCATTACATACACAACACTGTCCGAAGCAATGTATCATTACAAAGAATAGAGAAGATTTATCACAAAGCGATGCAGTACTATTTCATTTTACCGACAAAGATTTATTTCTGGACGATTTACCCACTAAAAGACTTCTTTCACAGGTTTGGGCTTTATACATAAATGAACCTAATGTTTTTGTGCAAGAGAGTTTCACACCATGGGCAAACGTATTTAACTGGACTATTTCATACAGGAGGCATTCTACTGTGTTCTTACCATACGGGATGTATGAACCAATTCCGAATGAACTACATTCGAATGTCTCGCGTATTAATCCAACTATATACCCATCACGATACAGAGACAAGATGGCCTACGCAGTTGTTAGCCGTTGTGCCGATGATGCCGAGCGTTACAGACTAATCAATGAAATAAGTCAGCACATGAATGTCGATTATTACGGTGAATGTGGGAATTTGAAATGTGAAATAAAACATAATTCATGCTTACCTCCGAACACTTTGAGACGATACAGATTTCGTCTGGCTTTTGAAGACAGTAATTGTAGAGACTATGTTACAGAGAAGTACTGGGATACTATTTCTAAAGGAATTATTCCCGTAGTCGATTGGAAAACAGCTCAACGAGATGTACCTGTCCCTCCACATTCTTATATTAATGTTTATGATTTTCCAAATATAAAGAGTCTCGCCGAATATCTTACTCAAGTTAGTCGGAATAGTACGTTATTTCACAGTTATTTTAAATGGAGAGACCATTTTAGGATTTATACCTCGTTTTGGAATAGTTTTTGTAACTTTTGCACCGCTCTCTACGACAAAAGTGTACCAGCTAAAGTGTATACCGATCTAGAAGGATGGCTGAGGGATGATTACTGCCAACGATTTACAGTAAGTTTATCATGTACAGACGTGTTTATGTGTATCGCTTCTACTTCTTCCACATCAGTTCAGTTAATATGGGTCTCCAAATAGTATCCAAACTGTAGTTTGTTATCCTTCCTAATGATTATTCATTTTGGGTTGGTTAACAATTCAGAAAACTCGATGATTTCCGAATGTCCCTTCTTTGAAGGTCTGGATGGGGTTTACAAAAATGAGAATAATGGGCAAAAAGTGCCGAATAAATGGCTAAAAAATAAAGATTTAGAGAAAAATAGGCAAAAAAATTTAAGAATAGAGAATAATTGGGGGCTAAAATATAAAAATAAAGAATAGAGCATAATGGGCAAGGTTTATAAATAATAGAGGATAATGGGCAAAATTTATGAAGAATAGAGAAAAATAGCTAAAAAAAAAAATTAAGAATACCGAATTGAAGGACTCAACCCCATCCAGACCATCTTCTGCCATTGTCATCGGTTTCAGATTTTATTTCTTCTCCGCACGACTAAATGATGCTTCAGCCCATAAAAATCAGCTGCTGACGGTACAAGTCCGATAGTAATTGAAAATCCAAGTGAGAAACAAGGACGTCTCAGACAGAAACTATTGCAAGCTGAGAAAACTGTCTACCTTATTCACTGCATGACTTCATCAGATGACAATACGAATACTATAAATCCCGGCAAAAAAATAGACTCACTATTTCAATGCAGTAACATAACCGCGTTAACCACCGAAAAGCATATACCAGATTCAGATTTTCATCGAATCTTGAACTTTAGTTAATTCAATAATAAATCCCCCTGATTAAGGAAAATAGACAATAAAATGCCCAATGGTTACACATTATCCTGTGTGTGATGACCTTGAAAGAAAACGAGCTTCTGGTAACTCAAGGTGGTATGCAAATTGTGTTCGCTATCTTGTATTCTAAAAAAAAAAAATCGGTATTGATTTTGTCAGACTTTCGCAAATTTTTTAACATAAATTTA